TGCGGTGCCTGTCCCTGAGGCTGCAGCGGCACTGGTAAAGTTGGATAAGTCTGTTCCTGAATCCGTGGAACCTGTGGAGATGGTAAAGGCACTGGCGCCCTCTGACTCTGCTGCACATGCTGTCCCTGTCCCTGTCTCTGTCCCTGTCTGGCTATAGGACACTGCCTGGAAGTGTGACCATACTCTCCACAAGTGTAACAACTACCCTGGAAAGTACCAAATGGCCTCCTCTATTGGTTACCCTGTGGCTGACCCTGTCCTGCCTGTGGTCCCCCATTCTGTTATCGCTGAACAGGTGCCACATCCCTGGGAGCATCTGAACCACCCTTATGCTTTTTCCAAGGCTGTTGTCCCTGGAATTTGCCCTTATCATTTTGTCGATGTCCATTCCCATTCCCCTTCTCAGCTGACTAGTTCGCAAAGTCTCTGTCACCCCGCTTCTCACCCTTGGCCTGTCTGATATCCACGGTCAACTGGTACTGCTGTAGAGCGGTGTCTACCACCTAAGCATAGGTAGTATAGGCTGGACTACCTGTAATAGCTCTCTTGATAGACCACATCAGTCCCTTGACGAAACTGTTGCGCTTCTTCTCCTCTGCATCTACCTCCTCCGGTGCAAAGAGAGACAAGCGTGTGAACTGTTGCTCATAATCTGCCACTGTCATGTTTCCCTGTTGCAGATTGAGAAACTCAATCTTCATGGCTGCCCTGACTGCATACAAAAAATACTTTTCTTTAAAGCGTGCACTGAACTCATTATAAGTCAAAGCCATCCTCTTCTCTATAGTGGTAACTGACTCCCAACACTGTAGTGCATCCCCAACTAGCTTGAAGGTAGCAAACATCTGCTTCTGAACCTTCGTGCACTGAACCAAGCGAAGATGTCGCTCGATGTCTTATTTCTACTGGTGAGCTGCTCTCGCGTCGGTGGAGCCTGTGAACTCAGGTGGGCTCCTCTTTATGAAAGAACTCCTTGCCTTCTCCTAAGTATCAGTCTGAACAACCGGTGCTGGTGCTAGTGCTGGTAACGGTGCCGGCTGTACCTGAGGCTGATTCCAGAGTGCAGCCGTTACCCCTGCTTCTATAGCCCGAGCAATAAGGTTATTGAGGTGAGGAAGAAACTCTGGATCTCCTCCCTGATCCCGAGTCTGCTGAACTTCATCTTGCTCCTCATAGAACTGACCTTCATCCTCCTGATGCTGCCCACGGGCCGCTTCCCTTCGTTGTCGATTGTTCCGTCTGGTTTTTGCGTTAACCATTATGTCAACACAGAAAGACAGACATCAGCACGACTAAACGAACTATAAAGAATACAATGAATCTTAATATTTAAGCTCTAATCAAGAGAAAACGCTACGCGGAAGTCTTATACGATAGAATCCTAGAGACACTTGAACCTGGAGTGCTCTGATACCAACTGTGATACCCCTTGGATCCGAGACACGGGTTGATCAGGCCCAAGCCCAAACCCGAGGGAAATATCATACAATTAATATGTAATACGAACACAGATGACAAAATGAATTTAAGAAATAAAGTTTAATAAGCTGAAAGAAACTAAAAGGAAATCCTTGAATCATAATTAATCAAATCCGATAATCCAAAACTCCATAAGTTTACAAGTCGGGAATCCATCCATTGGACCCCTTATTAAAATTCTCAAACCAAAACTGAAATAATAGAAATAAAATCCACAACTATCATAGAGAAGATTCCTACATAATCGGAGGAATGAATATCTGTATCTGCTCTGCACGTCCAAGCTCTAACCCTGGAACTAACGAACACCTAAAAAATAAAGGAGTGGGTCAGGCCCACATGTAAGTCCTAATCTACTACAATCCAACAGTAATTCGATACGCAGATACATTCGAGGAAGACTCAACAATAGATAGAATAGTCCATATATGTATATAGTACACACTATAGGACGCTCGTTAGTCCAGTAGGTCTGTCTCAGCCTGAATAGAAGGCAACATGCAAATACGCACCCTAAGGTGGGCATGAGTACTAAGACCTACCAGGGAACAACACCTATGTCCAGTTATCCATCCTAGGCAATATACGCGCCCTAACCATGGTCACGAGATTCAAGCTCATACCACGACACCATATAATATATATATAAAGTCCGTACTTCTCCTAATACAAAATACCATCCATCTGTGTAGTGGTATGATATATGTATAACAAATCCATCCTGAAACCATAGTAGGTCATTCAATTCTCAATTGATATGACATAAGTAGGTGATGGACTTAACCTTTATGATTAATCCATACCTTAATCCAAATTTAGGTAGGGTTTAGTGTTTGAACTGATCCGTACCTAGTATGACACCGTCCCATACCAGTGCATACCATCCTCCAGTTTACGTAATTAATAACACAGTATAATTATTTATTAACCACATCCCAGAATAAGCATAAATATAGTTTAGCATGTATACAACCAATTTTTGCATCCAATATAACATTTAGACATCTCATTACAGTTCTTTACATAAATGAAAAGACTGTACATTTAGCTCATCTAGTTAACATAGTTGACGAAAACAGTATTTGATACTAATCAACCATACTCCAAAATTTACATAAATACAGTTTAACATGTGTATAGCTAAATTATGTATCCAATAAAAATTTTAGAATCCCAATTCCAGTCCTTTAAATTGATAAATTAAAATTATACAATTTACTTCTCTATATAGTACCATAACTGATACATTGTATGGCAGATTTTAAACATCAATTAATTCCAACTAAGCATACACATATTTAACTACTATATGCTTATATCACAGCTAAAAACATGTCTCGCAATTTAAGATTTCACAAAGAAATAAAATTCCAAAAATAGTAGACGATAGAAATTAATTTTCAAATCATCCACCTACGGGTTCACTGTTTAATCTTAGATTAATTCCGTTCTCAATTCCTACTTGTAATCATGCTTCCCAACATTTTTATAAGTCTTAAACATTAAATTACAACATCCAGTAGCCTTTAAATAATTTTAGAAAATCCAATTTCAGCCAAAAAGTCCCTAAAACTCAGTTTTGTGTGTTATAAGATGGAGCAGGCTCTTTAAAAACTTTGAGCCTGCTCAAAACCACTTGGAGCCTGCTCTAAAACATTTAGAGCCTGCTCTAAATCACTTAGAGCCGGCTCCAACTCTTTGGGAGCCAGCTCTAAGGGTTTTAGGAGCCTGCTCTCCTTCCCTTAGCAGCCGTTGTCCGTTTTGCCTTTATCTTCTTCGACTCCGGTGATTAACGAAGCCTCTGTACTGTGTTTTAATTCTTATTCTAGGTTCAATCTCAGTCCTAGGTATATATTAAACCACTGATATTCAATGATAGCATGCATGGAACATAGGTTTAGAAGCAACGATCACAAAACCTTAGTCTGAAATTTTAAGCAACCTACAACAGATTAATTTGGTGACATTCAATACTGTGTTAATTACTTATACAAGGGTTCATTTAATGTCTCAGACTAATTCTCAAGCATAAATATATATTCACAACATGAATTTAACACAAGATTTAAAACAATCCGCAATAAGATTTTAGTTAGAACTTTTAAGCAACACTAAAACAGATTAATTCAATGGAACTAAAAACTGATTTAAACATGCATATTAGATGAATCATAACATTTGTTTCATCTATTTTAATCTTTGATTAATCCCTGGAGTCTTAACTAGGCATGCATAGAACACGAATTAACGGGAGAGAGAAGAACGGAGACTTGCCTGTAGTTTCAGATTTTGAAACTGTAATCCACCATCTCTAAAGTTTCCGACAACGTCCTAGACTATCGTTCCACTCCTGTGGTGCTCTTGGTTCAACCCAGAAGCACTCCACTCCTTCCACCTTAAGCCTCTCTGTAAATTACTCAGACTCCCTCTCTATTTCTCTGCCCTTACAACTCTTTGTATCCCTCTGTAACGTGAAAAGAGTTTATGTGTTTTGTTTTCTAAAACCCTAAACCCACATAAATAATATATTTATAGGCTCAATACTCCAACCCTAATCCTTGTATAATTAGAGCCCTAATGAAATCCTTAGTCGACCCAAGAAAACCTAAGTTTTAACCTATGTCGGCTAAACATACATAAATCCTTTAACTTAATTAAACTACAATTTAATTTAAACAAATAAAAATACAAGTAATTAAACTAAAACACAATTAAATAAATAATTCAATTTAAAACAAATATTACAATTAAATCAATTAATTCAAATAATCAAGCAAATAATTAATTAATCAAAACAAGCAAATAAATGTATTAAAAATGCACATAAATTATTAAAACAAATTCCAGAACTGTCCTTTAAAATTAGGGGTATTACATTGGGTTAGAGCACTTCTGGTGTGTCACTACATGTGACTCAATTACTCTTATATTTGTATAATATAATGCAGAAGATAAAGCAGAGAGTTTTTCTAATACATGTTTCTGGCATGTAATACAGAGATATTCAACACTTCTTTCATTTATAGTCTCAATATAATAATTGTTGAGACGTATAACTTTAAAACTTAATAAATTTCTTTTGGATTTGGTAGAGTATAGAGCATCTTTAATATTCAATTTTGTTCCGCATGGTAACATAATGATAGCTCTTCCGAAGCCTTCAATTAGGTCTGCTGGACCAGATATTGTATTGACACTAGCTTCAACTAATGTTATACGCGAAAAATATTTTCTATCTCAGAGTATAGTGTGCGCTGTTACACTGTCTGCCAAACATATATCTTCACCATTTATCTTGGGTACAGTTAATGCCTTAACCAGATCCATGTTTCTTCATACACAAAATATATATATTTCATTACTTCAAATTTGAAATACAAACTAGATTTACATACAAGATAGCTAAAATAAAAACATACTGGTATAACCAAGATAGAGAAATATTGATACAACAAAAATTTAAACATGCTGATACAGACAAAAGAAAACACATAAGGGATAACATATTAGAGAAGAACACATTAACTGGTATGGACATTTCCATCACCAATCAAATGATCAATACTACCACTAGTATCAGCAAAGAAGTCAGAAACATCAAGGTGAGTAATATCAACTGGCAAGTCATCATCAACAAAATTCATTTCAATTTCCTTTCCTTTTCCCTTATCATTCATTGAGGCACGGTAAAGATCAGCTAGATGTTTGAGCGTACGACAGGTACGCCACTAATGACCTTTCATTCCACACCTATAGCAAGGCTTGTCATCATATATCTCAGGAGGTTTATTCTGCAAGGTTTTTCCTTTTGCCTGCTTGGTCGCATTTGAATTCCACTTCTGGTGGGACGGTGTGGAGTTCCTTCTGGGAATCAAGGAGGAATTATGACCATTATGATTATGATAATTATTTCTATTGCGACCATATCCACGACCACCACTACATGCGCGTCCACGTCCGCGTCCATGGCCGTGAAATGAGGACACATTCACTTCTGGGAATGGTACAGATCCAGTTGGACGGGATTGGTGGTTTTTCATCAAAAGCTCATTATTCTGTTCAGCCAACAATAGATAAGAAATCAGCTTAGAATATTTTGTAAATCTTCGCTCTCTATATTGCTGCTGTAGGAGCACATTTGAAGCATGAAATGTGGAGTATGTTTTTTCCAACATATCATCATCAGTAATTTTTTCTCCATACAATTTCAATTGTGAGCTGATTTTAAACAAGACTGAATTGTACTCATTTACACTTTTAAAATCCTGCAATCGCCGGTGGATCCAGTCATAACAAGCTTTTAGAAGGATTACAGTTTTCTGATACTTATACCATTGCTTTAAATTTTCCCACAGTATAAGTGTATCCTTGACCGTGAGGTACTCTGTTTTTAATTCCTCATGGAGGTGATGGCGAAGAAAGATCATAGTTTTCGCGCGATCCTATAGGGACGCATTATTTTCTTCCTTAATTGTCTCTCCGAAATTCATGGCATCCAAGTGGATCTCGGCATCAAGGATCCATGACAAGTAGTTTTTGCCCGAGATATCAAGTGTCACAAATTCAAGCTTGGTAAGATTTGACATTATGAAGGAACTATAAATGATAAAATAACACAGTTAGAATTATTTCATAAAAAGAATAATCAATTTAAGATTATAATAATACTGCAGTCACTATAATATGATATGCATAGTGGTGATACCATATATATATAAATAATAGTCAATTTATAATCACAACAGAACAAGTGGATTGGTGGCTCGTTAACTTAACTTGCCCATTAAAGGGCCACGGTTTGAATCTTGTGTTAAATTTTTTCTGTTTTTTTTCTTTTACGTACTCAAATTTGAGCCAAGTTATATGCTAGTAATGTACATGAAGTAACATGTAAAAGATTGTAACTAGATATTTAGCAAATATAATATGAATTGTTAGTAAATATACTATACAATGTCAAAAAGTTAATCATGTGCTTTCAGTAAAAAAAAAACAATGGCAAAAAGACAAAATATGTTTACACTAAAGATGTAACCAATTGAAGTAAAGTCTGAACTATACTTATTTCACTGTATACTAGTGCTAGCAGAACCAATGGATTCATATATCATACCTTTTATTTATATTTAATTTTTTCTTGTAATAGGTCATCCTTGAACAAGTCCCACAGTATTTATATATATACATATATGTGTGTGTGTGTGTAATTAAAGGCACCTATTTTTTTATTTTTTTATTTTTTATAAATAGTATATAATTTATATTTTTACGTTTTGCAAAACTTCAGGTTTGTAATGGTACTCAGTGTAAATGACTTCAGGTCAAAGAATTTCACATTCACTTAGACTTCAGGCCAACAAATTTTGCGAAACTTCGGGTTCGCAAAGAGTACCTAATATTCGTGAAACTTCAGGCTCACAAAGAGTATATTAATATATGCAAAATTTTGAGTTTGCAAATTAAATATAAATAATTTAGTATTTGTGAGACTTTGGGCTCACCAATTTACTTTTCTATAAAGAATGGACAAAAATATTCTGATATAAATAAATAAATAAATATTTGCAATACTGCAGACTCAACAATTTTAATTATCTATAAAGTTTGAACAACAACAATTTAATATAAATAATTATTTTTCTTACCCTTTGAAGTGAGAAAGAAAAATAAAATTTTCTTCTCAGTTGACAGAGTGTCTTGCTCATAACATTTTGTGAATCTTATAGAGTAATATTAAGAATACAATAGACGAATAAATATAATAGAGAGAGAGAGAGAGAGTAAGAGAACTCTTCTTTTCGTTCTGTCTCACAATTCGCAATACACTACACTCCTTGTATAGAGAGTTTTACCACCTAATGTACTGTACTTTGCTCATCATACTTTCTCACACAAGGCACTTAAACCCCTGCAATGCATTATCTACGGAAGCACACCATCTCTGCCTTGACACTCATGCATAGAATTAATGAAGTGGACCACACTATATTACAACGTAAACATAAATAGTTATCAAAGGGGCTTTAATCTTACTTCTGAAATACCTTTCTTTTATTTTTTTATTTATTTTTTGTTATGTCCTACTTCTAAAATACGTATAAGTTTAGACCTCTTAATTTTTTATTACTCATTTAAAATTAGAAATAAACTTTTGCAATTACCATTGTTGTTCAAAATTGATGTAATTCTAAAACTAGTAGTAAGTTTTTATTTAATTTTTTTTAACTACATGTTCTATAATTTCTTAGCAAGTGGACATTTCTTTGTTAATATGAATTCTATGGGGTAACGTTATTTTCTAAAAGTATAAAATATATTATTTAGATTATTTTTTCAAATAAAAATATTATTATTTTAAAATATAGTTAATTTTTTTAGGACAAGAATAAATATTCGTACAATTTTGAAAAAAATATAATAGCAAATTACAAAGAGTAAAATTGAAATTTTAGAACTAATATATAAGCATTTTGTCAAATAATAGAATATATATAATTGTGTTGTTGAAACATGATAAGACTCGTCAATTTGTACACTTATTGATACATATATATATATATATATATATATATATATATATATATATATATATATTATTAAAATAATCAATAATACGTCCTTGGAAGAAGTTATCAATAATTGAATACAATTTTAACATTGGTGGTGGGTGGGTGGGGATAGAATTGTGTTGTTGAAACAAGACTAGACTTGTCAATTTGTACAATTATTGATATATTTTATTAAAATAATTAATAATATGTCCATGGTTGTTGTTGGGGGATTGGAATGTTGTGAGATTTAACTCTGAGAAGCTGGGAGGGAGACATCATTCTCAGAGAGTGTTTGCTGAGTTTAATCAAACTATTGATGATTTATGTCTATCTAGTATACCAGTATCTAATGGTGTTTACATTTGGGGTAACAAGAGGTTTTCAAATAGGAGAATTTATGCAAGATTAGACAGAGGATTGATGAATGGGGCTTGGGAATAGACTTTTCCTAATTCTCAAATTGTGTCAACTCCACCCTCAACCTCTGATCACTGGGGATTATGTCTTACTCTCCCGATAAATATAACAGATGGTCCTAAACCTTTAAGATTTTTGGCAGTCTGGAACTCTCAAGCTGCCGTGAGGGTTTTGATAAATGATATTTGAAAAGGAAAGACAACTGGAGAACCAATTAAGAAACTATTGTATAAGCTCAAATTGGTTAAGCAGGCACTGAAACAATGGAATAAAGATAAATTTGGATCTGTTCTTGAAGAGGTTAGCAGATGAAGAAGAAACCTTGCTGAGATAAAACAATTATTAATGAATGATCTTTTCAATGAGATATTTTGAAGAAAGGGGATGAAGATAGGTTAAACTTGGAGAATGCTATATCTAATGAAAGCTTATTACTGGCTCAAAAGTCTCAAATCAAATGGGTCAATGATCAAGATAGGTGTACTAAATATTTCTTTCAGAAGATTAATAAACACAGGAAAGGCAACAATATTGCAGTACTTCAAGAGGATGGAATTGAAATTAATGATCCTACATTGATCAAAGATAAGTTTGTCGGTTATTTTAAGGCTGCATATTCTAAGACTAGTTCTGTTATTAGTAGTCCAGAAGCAAAGTATATCAAAAATAAGCTTATAGAAGAAGAAGTTGTCATGTTGGAAGATGTTAGAAGTTAAATACACAGTTTTTTCAATAGGACCGGACAGAGCACCTGGACCAGATGGTTTTTCTGCTAGGTTCTTTCAACAATATTGGAGTATTGTGGGAGAGGAATTTATTGATGCTGTTATACATTTTTTTGCTACCTCAGAGATGAGGATTGGCATTAATAGTACATTTATAACCCTTATTCAGAAGAAAAGAGATGCATTGCAGGTTAGTGATTTTCGACCTATATCTTTGTGTAACACCTTATATAAGGGGACTGCTAAGAGTTTAGCAAATAGACTTGCAAAAGTACTGAAAAGAATTGTGGGAAAAGAACAGTCTGCATTCATACAAGAGAGGAAAATTCAGGACAATATCATCATGGCTCATGAGTTATTGAAGGTTTTTGAATCAAAGCATGCTAGACCTACAGTAGCATGGAAAATTGATCTCAGAAAAGCATATGATACAGTACATTGGGATTTTTATTGCAGCTAATGAAGTTTTTTGGATTTGGCAGCAAAGAGATTGGCTAGATTAATACCTGCATTTCTTCAGTTTGGTTTTCAATCATTGTAAATGGCTCTCCTCAATGTTATTTTCAACCAGAGAATGGGTTGAGACAAGGTTGTCCTCTATCTCCTCTCCTTTTTACTTTAGTTACAGAAAACTTCTCTGGAATGATGGAATTTGAGGTAAAGAAAGGTAAAGTGTGTCCAGCTGAGGTAGCAGTTAGAGCTGGGATTCCTATAACTCATCAATTTTTTGCTGACGACTTATTGATGGTGGTTAAAGCTAATATGGGAACAATTATTACTGTGAAAAAAGTTTTGGATTTATTTGAAAAAACCTCAGGGTTAGCAGTAAGTAAAGAGAAATCAGAAGTCTTTTTTACCACTTCAGTTAGAAGACAGCATACTATCACAAGAAGTCTTGGATGTAAAGTAGGTAAATTACCTTTTACTTACCTTGGCCTTCCAATATCTGATAAGATGCTAAGGAGTAGGGATTATTCCAGCTTGGTGGAGAAGATTATGTCCATTACAACAAGGTGGAATGGGATGAACCTATCAATTTCTAGAAGAGTGGAATTATGTAGAGCTGTGATTCTTCATATGGTTCAGTATTGGATATCTGTGTATACACTTCCAGCAGTGATTATCAACTTAATTGAGAGAAAAATGAGGAACTATATTTGGGGACATGTTGAGAACAGGAAGAAGTTACATGGTATAAGCTGGAAAAAGTTAGTTGCGCCTAAAGATGTTCTTGAAGGCTTACCCCATTTGTTCTCTTGAAGGAATACAACTCTTGTTTTAAAACTAACCCGTTGGTGAGATTCTTTCCCATATATAGATTCTCCAATTTCTTCCACATGTCCACTGCTGAATCTTCTTTTATTACATCATACACAATATCATCCGCCAATGTTAATCAAATTGCACTCATTGCCTTCAAGTTGATCTTCGCCCAATCTGCATCTTCCATCTTTTCTGGTTACTTACCTAAGGCATCTTCTAGACTGCGCTGAATCAGTAAATCCTGCATCCGAACTTGCCAAAGAATGAAGTTCTTTCTTCCATCAAACTTCTCGACCACGTACTTTCCATCTGTAATAGTTGCCCCATGGCTCTGATACCAGTTGTTAGGGTTTCACACACATAATTGGCAAATATAACAGATAAAAAATCACACACAAACAAAAATGAGATTTATGTGGTTTGGCAAATTGCCTAGTCCATAGGCGAAGAATGAGTAACTTTACTTCAAAA